AATATAAAAGCAAAGTAGAAGATTTAACAAGAAAGGATTAAAATGTCTTAAAAACTCAAGGAAGTTAGTAAAGGAAGAAGGAAATAATGCAATCAAATGAAAAGTAAAAAAAAACGCAGCCCTAGGTAGGGTAAATAAAGTATAGCACACATATAATCCATCCCAAAACGGGCAAAACCAAATTAGAACATGTCCAGTACCCATGTATCTAGTTATCATCAAGATTACAGAAATGTATACTAAATCCTATGAAAAAGCAAAGCACACAGGAAATGTGCATCTCTCATGTATTCATTGATGTTATTAGGCCATACGGGGCTTTGAACCCAGGGCCTCATGCATGTTTGAAAAGTGTTCTACCACTGAGTTGTATTACTGGCCTTTTAAAAATTTTATGACAGAGTCTCACTAACTTATCCAGGCTAGGCTCAAACTTGTGATCATTCTTCCTCAGCCTCCAAATAGGTGGAATTATAGGTATACACCACCATGCCTGGTTTCTCTCAAATTTTATACTATAATACTGATCAAACATTTTTTGAGATGGAAGAGTGTGCGGTGGGGGTCGGAAGATGTCTCAGTATGTTACTGCAGGGGTTAGTCTCAAACCCCTGAGCTCAGGGGAATCCTACTCCTCCTCAGCTTCTGAGCAGTGAGACTACCGATACCTGGCTTTACACAAATTTTTAAGGGCAAGATTTGACAATACTTATGAAAAAGATTTTAAAACTGTGCATATGCTTTGACTCTCCAATTTTAAGACTGAGACCAAATCCTAAAAATACTGTTATGAGAAATAAAAAGACATAACTCTAAAGATATCTTTACCCTACTGTAACAGGAAAAAATGACATATAAGACTAAATAGTACTTTTGTAAGATGATATGGTATGTACTCTTTAAAATTCCTATTTTTAATACCTTTCGTTCTAGTAAACGTGAGGCAATCCCTGCCCTCAAATAGTTTACACATAAATAGGAGATGCAGACAGTAACGAAATGAAGGAACAATCTCAGGTGACAGTTTGTATAAAGAAGGTAACTCAGCGGTCAATGAATAACATCTCTGAAGTAGTGACATCTGAGCAGAAATATGGTGCTCTCTGAAGAAGGAACACTTTTAAGGGGATAAGCTCTGCATGCTTAAGATTCTCAAAAGGGCAAGATTTGGGGCGAGAATGGTAGACGAGATGTCTGTGAAGCAGGCTTGGCCCTGAACTGGCTTGAGGCAGCTCTCAATTTAGTAAACTCTAAGTCACGTGACTACCAAGCACCTGAAACATGGTTAGTCTTGAACTGAGATGTGTTGCAAGTATATACATCAGATTAAAGAAATTAAAATATTCCATCACTAATGTCCTATATTAATTACATATTAAAAATAATGTTTTGGGTAACATGAAATATATTTCACCTGTGTCTCTCTTTCCTCACAACGTGGCTATAAGGAAAACTTAAAATTACTAAGTGAATCCCATTTGTGGCTTGTTTTTTGGTTTTTTTTTTTTTTTTTTTTGAGACAGGGTCTCACTAGGTAGCTCAGGCTCACCTTGAACTCACTAGGTAACCCAGGCTGGCCTTGAACTAACTTGTGGTAATCCTCCTGCCTCAGCCTCACAAGTGCCGGGATTACAGGCATGTGCCACCACACCTGGCTATATCATACTTTTATTGGCATCACTGGTCCAGGGTATAAAACCCACAGTAAAAATTTTTTTTGAATTTTATTGCATGTATTTAAATTTACTGAAAAGCCAGATGCAGTGGCATAGACATATAATTCCAGCTATTCAGGAGGCTAACACAGGAAGATGGCAAGTTTGGGCCCAGATCCTGACTCAAAAATTAAAAAATAAAAAAGGAGTGGGAATGCAGGTCAATGCAAAGGCCCTGAGTTCAATCCCCAGGACTTCAAAATTAAGTAAACAAATAAATAGGCTGGGATGTAGCTCAGAAACCCTTGGGTTCAATTCCCAATGGAGTTGGGAAAGAAAGAAAAGCAACTAAAGGGTCTGAGCCCAGGAATAGGACACTCTAATATATATATTCAAATACTTATTTTCCACAGCCAGAGCAGACTGCAGAGGACCAAAAACTGAATCAAGGACACCAGTTAGATAACTACTACTTCTATATGTAAAGCAAAGGTTTAGGATATCACAAACACTGTTCAGAATTAACTTTTAATAGTTTACATAGGATATAAATAATGCACACACAAAAATCAAGGATATACCTGACAAAACGTTAACTAAGATTTACTATGGTGGCTTTAAGTGTGGCCTTTCTAACTCTTTAAAAATTTTTTTTTTCTTTTGGTAATGAGAATTGAATCTAGAGCTTTAGCACTGAGCTACATTCCCCTTTTTTACTTCTTATTTTGTGACAGGGTCTCCCTAAATTGTTAAGTAGCCCAGGCTGGGCTCAAACTTGTGATCCTCCGGCTCAGTTTTCTCTTGCAGTCCAGGGATTTCAGATGTGCACCCCCATGCCCAGCAAGGATGGCTTTTGTTATCTTTCTATTCCTTCTCAAAGTTTGGGGGGAAAACACTCATACTGCCACTGCCCTTATAATCAAATATAAAAATTAGCTTCTTTAAAGCAGACTAAAACAAGGCCCCACCAAAACAAAAAATCTCAGTACTTGTCTGCAAGCCACATATATAAAAAATGCTCTACTTTCATGAAAAAACTTTCACACAAAAACATGTTCAAAGCTGTACCTAATCATTACATACTGCCTCTCTCTCACACACACATATCCCATCTTCAGAAAATCAAGGATTAATGTGCCCTATTTTGTCATGGTATGCTAGTAGAACGATAAAACAGTTCACAAGCCACAAAAACAAAAAACAAAACTCAAACGTGTTAATAAATCCTAAAATACCCATCACACATCCTTATGTCTTTCTCCAAAAGACACACTATGTAATTGCACACAGTAACACCTCAGTTCTAAAGTTTCCTTTAAAATCTGCCATTTGACAAAGTGCTTCTGCTAACTAAAGTTAAAATACACTTAGGTTTCTTTCACAAGAATTCAGTAAAGCAAAAATGTTTAACTAATGTGCTCAAGTATTTTCCTATGCCTACCAAAACTCACTCACTCCTTCATCTTTCTCCTTCTTCCTTTCTTCTTCTTTCCTGTACTCTAGATTGAACCCAGGGCCTTGTCCATGCTAGGCAAGCACTCCACTGCTGAGCTACAGACCCTATTCTTTTCATTTTTTATTTTGAGACATTTTGTACAAGTTGCACAGGCTGGCCTCAAACTTGTGATCTCCTGCCTCAGCCTTCACAGCAGCTGGCATGCACACTAGGTCCAGGCAAACCTACTTTTACACTGGAGAAGCATGCCACATTGTGCCAGACTTTTTACAATCTAATTTCAAAGGATGAGATTCAGTATGTAAAGATTAACAGGAATCTCAGCCAGGTGTGGTGGCGCATGCCTATAATCCCAGCACTCGGGAGGCTGAGGCAAGAGGATCGCTGTGAGTTTGAGACCAGCCTGGGCTACATAGTGAGTTCCAGGTCAATCTCAACTACATAGTAAGATCCTGTCTCAAAAAAACAAAACAAAACAAAAATTTAACAGGAATCTTGCCTTGTGTGTATCTTCGACAATGAGGAAGCAATCATTGTAGCTATGAATCTCTTCCATTTCAACAAAATAGAGAATCCCAAAGTGTTTCATTCATTTCTGAGTGCCAATCTATTTTACGTCTAATGACCTAACAAGTTCTAATGCAATCTACATTATTTAAAGAAACTTTTACACAGAAATGTTCATAGAGCACACTAAAAGCACAACGAAATAAAAATCAAATCTAAATACTTATGAAGATTAACAAAATATTATAAAACAATGAAATTAATGAACTACAGCTACCTACTATTTTTCGAATATTTTGATCATCTCCATCCCCCCACTGTCCTCCCTTACACTTCCTTCCGGTTTCTTTTTACACTATTCATACCGAGTTATGTATTCTTTTGTAACGTTAAATATATTTTTGGTTATTTTAAATTTTTAATTGAAATATAACTGACATACAATAAACTGCAGATTTAAAGTGTAAAATTTGTAAGTTTTGACATTTGCGCACATACAGGAAATTGTTGCTAACATCAAGACAATAAACTCACCAACTCCTAAATCCCTCCCCCTGTACATGATTCCTACCTTCCTTAAATATACTTTCAAAACCTAAGAGAAGAAGTTTCGGACAATCTGTTTTGGAAATTTAAATGTTCACCTTTTTGCAAAATCTTTTCCCCTGCAGGCCTGGAGACTATATACAACCCAGCAAATGCCCTGAAACCGGACAGAATTATTTCATAACCATCCCTAAAAGGTGACGGTATTTCACATTTTAGAAAATCAAAATACAAATCTAGTTTGAAAAAGAAATTTGACTTTGATTCTCTAAGGCTGCGGGTTTCCATCGCTGAGTTGCACCCCAGAAAGTACCCCGAGCCCCGGCGTCCCGAGCCCGTACTGGAATTAGCTTCGCTGGTTGAGGTTGGGGTCCCCACGGTGTCACAGCGAATAGGAGAAAGTGAACCACTGCGGACACTACATACCGACACCCAGGAATTCGAAAACACGCACTGCCACTCCCAAGGGCGAGCGCCCCCGGGGCGCCAGGGGACCCGCACCCGGTGGCTTCCGGCCAGCTTCCGGGCCGCGCGGGATCCGCGGACGGGGAAGTGGGTGGGGACTTAGGGCCGTAGATCCAAGGGACACGAACACGAGAAGTACCAAGGTAAGGGGGACAAGGGGAGAACTCAGGGACAAGAGGGAGGCCGAAGGTCCTCACCTTAACTGGATTGGGGGGAACAAAAACAAAAAGGGGCCCCGGGGGTGCTTGCCTCAGCTGGGAGGGGGCAAGAAGTGATCCCTGGTTCCTCGCCTCATCTGGGCCCGCACAAAGGGGACCGAGACCCCTCCCTCAGCCTGCGGAAGGGAAGGCGGATTCCGCCTCGCTGCTCACCTGGCGGCGGCTTCTCAGCCTGACGCGCCCGCCGCCGCCCGTCCGCGGTGAGTGGGGACAGGTGAGGC